GTGCGTGTGGCTGTGCGTGTGGCTGTGTGTGTGGCTGTGCGTGTGTGTGTGTGTGCGTGTGGCTGTGTATGTGGCTGTGTGTGTGGCTGTGTGCACACCAAGGTGGGAACACAACAAAGAGCAGCTTTTCCAAGCCCCACCTCACTATAGCAAACCGATAACCCAGACATTCATTTCCGGCAGCCTCTCTGGTATGGTTATTACCAGTAATGAGACAACGAAGCATAAATACATACGTACATGCATTTGGAAATTAGTTTCAGTAGGTATTAGATGGATGATCTAGAAATCTTTTGCAGAAATCTATGATTTCCTGGACCTTTTCCTCCCTATTGCTATCTCCTTAATATCTCACACCTCTTTCTCTCTCTCTCTCTCTCTCTCTCTCTCTCTCTCACACACACACACACACACACACACACATACAATTTCCTACTAAAAACCATTCTTTCATTTCCCACCCACTCATCTGGCCCCTTGGCTATCTATCCCCCGCAACTTAACTGTCTTTCTCTGGTCTGACATCCCAATCCTCCAGGGCCATTGAAACGGCATTGTTTTAATTAATTTTTGTGTGACTGACAAGGACAACTAGGAGAATAATTCTCACCCATGGTGACTCTAAGAGATCACACACGAAAATTCATCAGGCCTGTGCAACAGCCTGTCTATCTGGCTAATATCAGATGGGCTAGAATCCCTCCTGTCGCCCCGGCCCAACCCTTGTATTCACACTACAGCTGGAGGCTGGGCGCCTCACATGCGCCTGCGTCTGTCATCCCACCATTGCTGTGTGCACGGGGCTCTGCGACACATCTGCCGTGCACATCTGGGCACCTCCGCACAGCCTGTGTCAAGCAGTAACTCTTTCATGCTCTTGCTCTGGCAAGAGTTCCCCTCTCAGAAATTTGGCATCATGGTCCTGGCAGGGTTTCTCCCTTAAACATCTTAAATTAAAATATTACTTTCTTCAATGCTTTTAAGCCCTAAGTCAACCTTCTCTCCATGATAGCATCTAGGAATTTTCAAAGCCATCCCATTCATTACAAGGCTTAAGCATCAGGGCATCCATTTTGTGTTTTCCCCTGTCTTGGGGTAAGGAAAACAGCTTTTTTCAAGACTTTTTCACTCTTTAGGTAAAACTCTTCTTGTTTTTCAGCCTATGAATCTGTCAGCTCAAATTTCAGCCATGAAAATGAGGGGTCTAGTATTCAACATCTCCTATAAGTTTAGATTTTCCTCAAAAAGGCACCTGTGCTTCTTGTCTATGTCATTTGACTCACGTACATATTATTTCATACCTAGACCTCCAGAAATACACAGCTTCTCCCCCAATATAGCAATAAGTGGGAAAGAGGGTTCACTTCATGAGTTGCTCAGGGGCAGCCCTGGGTATGCTGGTCTGAGTGTAAATAGTGGGGAGAAGAGAAGTCGGGTTGAACCAGTGCTTGTGTTTAGCTGGCCCAGGAAGGAGAATTTTCAGGGATGTCCTGAGGGTTCTGCAGGTCATATGCTGCACAATTATAACAAGATGATATTGGTTCCTAGAGTTGTGCACAGCTCAGCTTGCACAACCACAAACTGGGAAACTGAGAGAAAGACTCTCGGGCTTGGATTTTTAATGGAGGACTGAGCCCTGGCTGGTTTTGCTCAGTGGATAGAGCGTTGGCCTGTGGGTTGAAGGGTCCCGGGTTCCATTCTGGTCAAGCGCACATGCCTGGGTCGTGGGCTCGATCCCCAGTGGGGGGCGTGCAAGAGGCAGCTGATCAATGATTCTCAGTCATCATTGATGTTTCTATCTCTCTCTCCCTCCCCCTTCCTCTCTGAAGTCAATTTTAAAAAAAAATGGAGGACAGAGGCCAGTCCTGCCTCTTCCAAGCTTCCTTTCATATTGTGTTTCCCCCATAGAGAACTAAGCAAACCCTAAGACTAGAGGTTCACTTTGTAGCTCAACCTCCACCCACAGCCATTGCTGCTTCTGCTGCAGACCAGCAGGAAAGGATGATTATGTAGAGACTTTCTCTCCTAAAAATAGTTTTTGATTAATAGCAAAATGTGTGTGGTCTTCCTTACTGCTTATTTTTGGGACGGGCAGCAATGAATCCTGAGTGAGGGACCTCCTAAAGGAACAGGAAGCCAGGCCATAGATGGAGGGCTGGAGCCAGGCTGAGTGAAGGGAACTGTTTCTGCCAGCGACTGCAAAACTAGAAGGGGAGAAAAAGGCAGTCATATGCTTGCCAATCTCAAAATCTGTCAGCAGAGAAATGCCCGGATGCCTGGTATTCCATATTACCCTTCCTGCCGTTCTCCTTGGGTGGAGAGGCTGGCCATCATGGGAAGAGTTTCCATGTCAGTTCTGCTCACTCTTGCCCATTGGTTGGAAATGGGTCAAAGCAGCTCTTAAATAGAAGCCTTCAGCCTTCAGTAAAGGAGGGGGAGGAGGAGGAGGAGAAGGAGGGGATCGTGATGATAGCTACCATTGTTGTCTCACTTTGATAGGCCAGTCATTGCGCTGAGTGCTTTACACTCATTATTTCTCTTCATCCTCACAGCAATGATGTAAGATAAATTCTATTATCTTTATTTTTTATCTAGGACCATGCAGCTCAGAGAGGTTACATGACTTGCCCAAAGCCACACAGCTAAGTGGTGAAGCTGAGATTTGAATCTTAAGAAGCTGGGGTTTGTTTTGTTTTTGCCACTGCTCAGGGTTAGTGGTGATGTCAGTCTACACAGGCACATTTCCACCTGACAGCATGTGAGACGTTAGGAAGCTCCTGACTTTAAAATGACCCGTACAAACAAATGGCTTCTGTTGTTCTTTACTCCTGCCAATTCCCCTTACCAGCATCAGACCCCCTTGTGTGGCTGACACTGAAAATGATTTGCAACTTTTAAAGATATGGGAGAAGGAGAGGAGCTGAAAAAAATAAATTGTTCAGGAGAACCAAACTCTTGAAACAGATTTTCCAGCAAGATAGGCCTGTTTACAGGGTAGCTCTCCAGACCAAAAATGTTCTTCCTAATATGACCAAAATGTTATAACTTCACTTCTACTGTTCTAGGATTTAAATCTCACTAGCAATAGACTTATTTTGGATTCAGAAGTATTCTCTTAAAGTACTGATACTAAAAAGCTAATAGTCATTCACACTTTAGTAGAATTTTATTTACTTGCAACCTAGATGAGAACTGCTGTGCTGAGGGACTGCAATTTCTGATAGGGGTGGAAACAGAGGTGGGTAATTTTAGGGTAAGTAGGGTTTTAAGGCTTGAAACATGCCTGACTGGTACAGTGCCCCAGAGGGCTTGGATTAATAGAGAATATTAGCTGTACAGGGAAGGAGGCAGAAGAAGGAGAAAAGTACAGAAAAGGAAATGGTAGAGTGCCAAAGACAAACTATTTCAGAATTGCCCTATAACGAGCTCTATGTCCAGGGAAAGGAAAGAAAACTTACTCCTTCTCTTCTCTATTCCTAGTCCCTAAAAGACCTTCATTAGGCTAATTCAAATCTTGTTCTCATTTCCAATTGTTTGAAAATACTGTTCCCTCTGCCTGAAGCACAATTTCTCATCTCCTCCTAACACCTGACATATTTTTAAATTGTGGTAACATAGACATAACATAAAATTTGCCAACTTAACCATTTTTTAAGGGTAAAGTAGTGCTAAGTACATTCACACTGTTGTGCAACCAATCTCTAGAACTCTTTTCATCTTGCAAAACTGAAACTGTATACCCATGAAATAACTCCCCATTCTCCCTCAGCCCCCAGCCCCAGACAACCACCATTCTACCTTCCGCTATCCCCCAACTTTTACCCCTTTCCCTGGTTAACTCTTACTCATCATTCAGTTCCAAATTTCATTCTCAAGTCGACCTCCCTCCAGGCAGTTTTTCTGTGCCTCCCACCCAATCCTCTCCACCGACTGGGTGGCAGGCCTCTTCCACTCGTTCTCCCTGCACCCTGTATGTGCCCATCACAGCATCTCTCTTACAGAATGGTCTACTTTCTAGGCTTTTCTCTCCATTAGATTGCAAGCTTTTTAAGGACAGGGACCCACCAGTACCACGGGGACCTGGTGGATGCTGCTGGCACACACAGACTATAGGTGTTTTATGTGCATTTGAATAATAAAAGAGTTCAGCTATAATACAGGATAAACTGGTTTTTTGTTTTTTAAGAATGAGCTGGAAGACTCACTACCAAGCAGAACATAGTCTTTGCAGGAAAATGCGTTCCAATAGGCTGCCCTTATAAGCACAGAGTACTTCTTTCAGGGCTTAGAATGTAGAAAACATATTTGTCCCTTGATTTGCTCAACCACCTTAAAGAAAAATTCTTATGTCTCTTTGTGTTTAACATCCCCCAATTGTTTTTTAGGAAAATGGATATAACACTACTCTGAAAATACTCAATATCCCCTGGAATTGAGTTCAAAGAGCAATTTAACAAAAAGTTGTGAAAACTCTATCGGTGATTCCAGTCACCGATAGAGTTTTCACAACTTTTGTTTTCTTATTGGTCATTTTGTTTTAATAAACAGTTTCAGATAAAAAAAAGATACGATTCTAAAAAATCATATAAATGGTGGACATTGATTATTTGTGGACTTGAAGATCGGTTTCAAATAATTGTAAATGACTTTAGAAGTCAGGGACACATGCAATTTGTCATTTTGCAGAAGAAGTCAAATCCTAGACATCATGAAGGTGGGAGACAAAAGACCATCACGAAACTAGGGAGTGTACCCACCCAACCGCCCAGCACCCACATCTCAGTGTTGTGGTCTATATTCATTGTAACATCTGCAATAGCTCATGTTACATTATTTTTTTTTTTTAAAGAAGAACACTGATTTATATATATTTTTTCTTTTTTTATATATTTTTATTGATTTCAGAGAGAGGGAGAGATAGAAACATCAATGATGAGAATCATTGATCAGCTACCTCCTGCATGCCCCCTGCTGGGATTGAGCCTGCAACGGAGGTATGTGCCCTTGACCAGAATCGAACCCGTGATCCTTCAGTCCACAGGCCGTCGCTCCATCCACTGAGCAAAACTGGCTAGGGCTATTGTTTTTTCTTAGTGGCCCTTAAAAGAAGGCCAATTGCTGGGGCTGGTGATGGAAGTAAGAGAAAGTGAAATGGGTTTAACAATTTGATGAGTCTCTGACCCCCAAAAATGGTTTTATAAATTACTCTAATCCTTTGTTTATAGATTCATTTATTTATAGACTCATCAAGAGTCTGAAGAGTTCCCCTTCTTTTTTCATTTCTACTTTAGTTTTATTGGGAATATGATATACAAAGGGTATTCACAAATCTAAGGATTCCTGAAATTCTCCGAACATGTCCCTCCCAAAGCAGTCAAGATCTGCGGTTCACTTAATGTATGAGATGCACGTGGCATCAGGGCCTTCCTCAAGCAGTAAAGTAGGACTTGGCACAACACATTTTAAGGCTCATATGTGTGTATGTGTATCATTTACATTTCTCAACCCATAAAAAAGTTTGGTGTATTAATTTTTGTTCTGTCAAGTGATCAAAAAATTATACTTTTCATTAGTAATCTATAAGTACTGTTTTCTATTTTATCACCCTTCAGATGTTTATCTTCTCATCAAAGAACAACAAAAACATAGAGAAGCATGAGGCTGTTCCTCAGGATTTTTTTCCCCCTGGTTTCTCTCTTGCTGCTTTCATACACCTCCCTATGGCCCAAGCATTTTCACTTGCTGTTGTCTTAGTTGTCTACGATTTGTCACTTGAAAATTAATGAAGACACCAGTATCAGAACATGTCCAATAGAAAGAATTAGCAAGTCTATTTTACAGAGTACATAAAGATTATTCATTCATTCAGTAAATACTAATTGACCACCTACTAATGCTAAATACAGTGCTAGGCACAAGAATACAGCTGAGAGACAAAGTCTATGCCTTAAAGTAGTGGAGTGTGCTTAGAGCTTTGAATGAGCACAGGCTACCTCCACCGGGAGGTTGAGAAGTATTTTGGAAGCAGAGGACACTTAGGCTGAGTTTCTAAGGATATCTGTAGGCAGCGGCCAAGTGGAGGAGAAGAAAGGAGGCTCCAGGGAAATAGGCCATATGAAGGTTAGAAAAAATGACACCATGGGAGAAGTGAGAGCAGCTTGTAATGCCTGGACCCCAGGGCACACGTAGGGGAGGAAGTGGTGAGAAACTCAGCTGGAGGGGTAAGCAAGAGCTAAATTATAAAGGGCCATAGCCAGCAACTAAGGAATTTATCCCAAAGGCTTTGAGATCCTGTTTACACAGAAATTGACATAACCAGATTTTTATTTCAGAGAAATGATTCTCCCAGCTATGTAAAGAATGGATTGAAAGGGGAAAGACTAGAGGCTGGGAGACCAGATGTCTATACTTGTTTGAGAGCACGTGAACAAGAATAATATTTTCTGCACCGTTAAGGCCACCACATGAATTAAATGGATTAGCCACTTTGTATGTAGTTCTACCTTCAACCTCTTTTTAAATTCCCTTCTTCCATACATTCTTCCACCAGAAGTATCCTTATTAATCTTATGATATATCTTGATTAGAGGGTTTCTCATGTAGCTGATTTTTTTTTGTTATTGCTACACACGTCAAATTTAAATTCCACCATCTAGCTTGCGTTCCATTTGGGGCTTGGTAAACTGCCATGTACCATTGGACCTCTCCATAAAAAATAATTTATGAACTTTTGAGAGAAGTTGGTTTTCCCAAAGCTAAAGCCAGACCCTTGAGACTGAGCTAGCCTTGGTCTACGAAGACATAAGTAAGTAAAAGAACTGTTATTCCAAATTGGAAGAAAAATATTGCTCTTGCATTTATTGCATTTCCATATTTAAATTCAGAATGACTCATATCTTCTAGATCCGTCTAGTTGGCTCCTTTAATAGAGCTCCCTGGGGTATGTCTTTGGCCTGGAGACTTTCTCAGGTCTTGAGCAACTATTTGATATGCCCATCTCACCCTCCTCATCATCCAGGAAAATTTAAAGAGAAAATATGTGGCATTAGCAAGGTCTTAAATCTTACCCCAAGAATTTGATAATGACAATACCAAAAGGCCATCTTGGGTCTCAGTCTCCTACATTAAACAAGCAGACTTGAGATTTATTATAACACAATAAACACCCTATAGGTCATAGACATCTTGAGTCCTATCATATGAAATAAGTATTTTTAGATAGCAGTCCTAAGGAAAGGTCAGCTGGCCTATATAAAGGGACCAGAATTATCCTTCCTTTTATGGTTTAGTTTATATTGGGAAGAAGTTCTTTTTAATAATCTGGAATTTGCCTTTGCATCTTCTATTTTGGACCAAAATAAAAACCATGAAGGTACAAAAGCTGACTTTTAGGCCTCCTACTATTGGTTTCTGCTGTAAGTCCATGTGCAAAGCTCTGAGAAGGCCAAGCTGCTCCCTGAGGTCTGTGTGGCAATGAATAGATCCCTCCTCAATGATGAACCACCCCAAGTGTGGGCGAAGTTCCATGACAGCAGGCTAATGATCAAAGGCTACTCATGCCTCAGAAGGGTCCGTGTGGGAAAAGGCCCTAAACAGATTTAAAGAGGCTCCTGCCAGCACCTCCAAAAGCTACTGCCCTTGTGACCACAGAATGTTGGGCCCCTTTGGAGCCTACGGGTCTGACGTTGTTTCCCAAGCCCTGACGGCATCTGTGGAGGAGGCAGGTGGCCCACGTTGCCTGATAAGGTGACTCTTTGGAGTTCAGTTTCCACTCTGATGCCAGATGGGACCCGCCAGAGTAAATATGACTATCTTTCCTTTTTAACGAAAACAGTGAACCACAACTTGGCAATTACACATAGTCAACATAGGTTTAAGTAGAAGGAAATTTTAAGGCATCTTATTCCAGACTAGAATCAGATGCTGTTTCCTGCTATTCAAGTCTTGAGTGTTTGGTGAAGGATCCCATGACTTGAAGAAGGCAGAGGAGGCTTGGGATGGGACCCCATCTAGTAAGGGTCATCTCTGAGCTGCCGGTTATCTGGTGGGAAGGCTATCTCCTTGCTAAAAGCCTGTGGTTAGATTAATGGGCGCATTTGAAAATCCGCCCTGGCCTGAGGGTGGGCAGCCAGGGAAGGAGAGTGTTTTCTGTTTATCTCTTTAGTGGCAGAAATGTTCATACAGAAAGACCGCAAGCTCCCAGTTCCAGGCCGGCCTGGAAGCCGTGCCACCCGTATCTGTGATCGTACACATCGCCTCCGGGATGATGAAAAGGAGCCGGGTCTGTGTTCACAGCCAGTTGTCTGCGTTGGTCAATGAGTTCGTTTCTTCGGCTTGATAACAGGGGTAGAGCTCCCCACATTGTTCAGAGAGAAAGTGTTACCACCCCCATTGCTCTATCTCCCAGGAATGCAGTGTGAGTTGCGTCTCCTCCTCGACAGCTTAGACCTCAGTAAATTATCAGGGTCTTGACCCACGAGATGGAGAAGTCTTAAGCGATTTTTCAGCCTCCTATCTAAAAATGTGTTTACATTTCTTGAACTCTGGCTGACTGATTCATTCTCCTGGTGTTGCAAGAACTTTCCTTATGCGTTAGAATTTATAAGTTTCATTTCTAAGAGACCCATGGTTCCTTTCAAGCCACAGTGAAATGAACCTCATCGCAACACGATTCTGCGGGGCTGGATTTGTCCGGGGGCCAAGCAGCTGGGATGTGGCAAGCTCAAGTGAGGCTAACAGGAGGCAGTGCGAGGTGGAAGGGAAAGTACAAGATGCTAAATCAGGAGATCCGGTCTTGGGCTATTTCAAGGTCTGGCTCTGAGCCAATCCCAGGAAACCACTCTCTGGGCCTCAGTTTCCCCAGCTGTTTTCAATTTTTAAACGTTTTAAATCTGTACAGAAGCCATTTTCAAACGAGACAGAAGAGGACAGCTGAGAAACAACAGAAAAGGAAAGGTCAGCCCACAAGGCGTGACTGGAGGCTTCAGGTCAAGGAGACAAAGAAGCAGAGTCACATGTGGCCACAGGCTCTTAAAAGAGCTACTTGCGAGCAGCAAGCATGGAAAGAACTTTCGGTTGGACACTCGTCCCGCACAAGAGGCTAAGCTCCTTTGACAGAGGAGCCATGCGCCTGGCTAAATTTGTTCCTCAAATAAACATTCCTTTATAAACACTGAATTTGCTTTCTAAGAGGAAGAAAGAAAAGCAAAATAAACCCTACCCCTCTGCAGGTTGGGGTTTCAATCAGGCAGTCTTGGGCTCGAAGCCTCACTGGTGCCCAGTCAGTGGGTGCCCTGTGAACCAGGAGGTCCTGGTTCAATACTCCATCGGGACGCATGTGTGGGTTGCGGGCTCGATCCCCAATAGGGGGCGTGTAGGAGGCAGCTGATCAATGATTCTCTCTCATGATTGATGTTTCTCTCTCTCTCCCTCTCCCTTCCTCTCTGAAATCAACAAAAATACGTTTTTTAAAACACCTCACTAGTTATACAACCTTGAGGCGGTGACTTTACCTTCCGAGCCTCAGTTTCCACACCTGTAGGGAGCAGAGATAGCACAACCGCGGAGGAGAGGCGTGTGGATTACACGCCAAGTCCATGTCTGTGTCTGTGGGGCACCTGCTCCTTGGAGGGCCCCCCTGTGGCATCACGCCCCCTCCTCTCCTGTTGCCCCTCCACACTGTGAGGGGAAAGGGAAAGGGGACGTCTCTGATCTCTCAATCTGGAAGGTTGCAGAAGCATTTTCCTGCTTCTGTGAAGTGCTATCATACAAAATTCATATTCGGCAGCATCAGCAGATTTTTCCCATCAATATTTCCTTTTTAATTTCAGCTTTATCTGAGTCTTAGTAGCACAAAGGATTTAATTTTTTTTCTTAAGATCAACCAAGACAAGAAAATAGAAATTTGAATATGTCTTAACGCTATATGTAACTGGTGTTTAGACTGCCCATAGAGGTTATGGGTATTATTTGTTGAGCAAATATGAATGCCATCTGTGTAGGTATGTGTGTTTATAATCTTACACATATGAACTAGGTGTGCATGTATATGGTATGTATAAAAATTCATGAGACCTACATCTGACAACTTGGATTCTTTTCTAATTTCTACCACAGCAAACACTGAATCTGGAACCGATCTTCCCATGGATCTTAATAAAACCTCACCTTTGACCCAAAAGCCAGAGAAGCGGGTACAGTATTGATTTTATTTATTTATTTATTTATGAATTATACATTTTTGTTGTTTTCAGAGAGGCAGGGAGAGGGGAAGAGAGAAAGAAACATCAATGATGAGAGAATCATTGATTGGCTGCCTCCTGCAGGCCCCACACTGGAGATGGAGCCCACAACCTGGGCATGTGCCCTTGACTGGAACTGAACCCGGGACCCTTCAGTCCGTAGGCCGATGAGCTAACCACTGAGTAACTGGCTAGGGCTACAGTATTGATTTTAAATGAGCAGGAGATGGGGAGTCAGAACGTTTGGGTTCTTGTCCTGGCTTGCTGTGTGACCCTAAATGAGATTCTTCCCCTCTCTGGGCCTCATCTGCCTCATCAATAAAATGAGACAAATGAACTATAAAATCCCAGAGGTTCCTTCACTCACAGACTGGGAATGTTTTGTCTGGCTCTTCGTGTTCATGAATAAGCTGAATGGGCTTTTCCCTCATTTCTGCAACATCAAAAAGGGAACAAAGAACAAAGAAAGGTACCATCCATTGAGGCTGGAAGCACTAAGACTTCATGGCAATGGGCCTGTTTTTTCCACTCCAATTCTCATTCCTAATGTGTGCGTGGGGGGGTGGGGGGGAATAGAGCTATCAAGAAAAAAACACACAAGGATGCCTTAAAGAAAGGAGAAAAAGGCTGCATCCGGTGGGTTAGGAATATCAGTGATTCAAAGGCGTATGTTCACAAATATTTGCAATTTTGTTCCTTCATTTGAAGCTCTGAGGCTGGAACTATCTTCCAAGTCTCTGGAGAGACAACTCAGGGGAATGCCTGCCGCTGCCCAGGGTTCCCAGACCCTGCAGCAGAAGCAGCCCAGCTCCCTCCTCTCAGGTCGGTCCCTGGTGTGACAGCCGAGGAGCAAGGGCGCTTGATCTCTCTTCTCTCTTATCTCCCACTTCCTGCCACAGCCCGACTTCCACCTCTTCCCTCACACTCATTAAAAAACAATCTTAAATATACATTTTAATAGATTTTTTTAAACTCCGATAAAAGTCGTTTTTGTTTTCCTCTGTGCGACTAGCTGGCTCTGTGGGAAGACCCGAACTTTCCCTGTTAGACACCCAGGCCCAGATCAGGCCTCCGCTGAGCCATCCCTCCCACCACTGAGGAGCCACACCACCAACGTTTGCTTTTTTTTTTTACATTCCCACTTTGAAGACACACTTTATACGGGATCGAGAAGCTTTTCTAAGAGAGTCTGTAACTATGGAAAAGAGAATATGCTATATATTTCCTTAAAATCTATTTTTATTGATTTCAGAGCAGAAGGGAGAGGGAGAGAGAGAGAGAAACATCAGTGATGAGAGAGAATCATTGATCAGCTGCCTCCTGCACGCCCCCTACTGGAGATCGAGCCCACAACCCAGGCACGTGCCTTTGACCAGAATCAAACCTGAGACCCTTCAGTCCTACGGCCAATGCTCTATCCACTGAGCCAAACTGGCTAAGGCCATATGCTCTGTTTTGGTAATTCCACAACTCCAAAGGCCCTGCAAATACCTCACACACCCTAAACATGCTCCACATTCACCTAGCCCCGTGGCTGTGTTGCAGGAGAATTGACATCACCTGCCATGAAAAAGGGGCTCAGTCGTGTCAAATTAAGTCCTAGACGGAACTGTTAACCTTGCAGTCAGAGGAACACCAGGCCGAGGGTCTGACACTCTAACCCTGGGGTCACCCGTGAGGCTGTGGCAAAACCAGCTGCTCTGAGAACTTCACGTGCCCCCTTCGTGAAAAGAGGGGGGTCGTCCCCCCAGAGCCAATTGCCTTCTTTCCTCTAGCAGCAGCCCCCAAAAGGAAAATCACTTAAGGAAAAAGTCTAGGGAGCCCCACCAGCCCTTAAACACAGAGAAAATGGAGGTGGAGTGGAGGTGGTACCCTCCTTGCCGACCCCCCCTTACTTCTTGAGGCTAATGGCCCTTTATTAGATTAATCACTGACTTCGATTTTAACTACTTCCTCAGCCTACTCCATGTAAATGACTAATTTCGAGTTACTATAAAGCATCTGGAAAGGATTTAGAAACAAATTTCTGCCCAGCAGATTTCAGTTACGTACCTTGATGGATTCCTCTCCCTGTCGCCTTCCACTCTGAAGCAGGCTAGGATATCACACAAAATTGATCTTTATCAGCATCAGCAGTTTCTGCTCTTCCTTCCTGTCCGCGAATTCCCCACTGACTCATCCTCTCCCTCCCTCACTGGGGTCTTCCCATATTTGGAGTTCAGTCACATAAAATGCTTTTACATTTTTATCATGGCGCTGGCTGCAAGGGGAGCAAAAACCCCACAGGTGGGATGCTTTGGCAGCCCCGCGCTTTAGGGAGAAGTCACAGACCCAGAATTGGGAGATAACTTCTGAGGGGTGGGTAAGAGAGCAAGCCCGCGGGTGCTTGGCAGACGTGACTGGGTTCATGGATGCACCCGGTTCCGGAGGCTGCCTATGGATGCCCCCTACTGGCTGGATTTATTATATATATATAACATCAATGATGAGAGATAATCATTGATTGGCTGCCTCTTGGACGCCCCACACTGTGGATGAGCCCAGAACCCGGCATGTGCCCTGATCGAGAACCGAACCGTGACCTCCTGGTTCACTGGTCGATGCTCAGCCACTGAGCCACGCTGGCCGGGCGGTACTGCCTGGATCTAAACGCCTCTACTGTGCATTTCCTAAGTGGGGTCTGCGCTGGGAAGGGGGCAGGAAGATCTGGGGCTCCTGCCTCCAATACACAGGATGGCAAATCATGGGCCCAGCTCCAGAGACACCCCTCCACACCCGGTGACAGACCAGGGCCTAGGAGGTGCATCCATAAATAGAAATGAGATCTACAAGGGGAAATGTGGAGATGAAAAGAGCAATGAAAAAAGGAAAAGGAGACAAGCAGACGTGTTTCCACTCCAAGCTCCGGCTTCCTCTTTCAAATGAACGGCCTCCCCACTGCGAACAGAATCAAGTATTTATAAGGCATTTTTTGCATATTAATAACAGCTGCAGGTGGCGCGCTGCCCGTGCTGAGGTCCTAAAGGTATGGTGGTGCCCTTTTTTAACGCGGGTCCTTCCAGCTCCTCACGGAGTGTGATCGCCTCCTTCACATGTATTCCCCTTCCTGCCTCCTGGCACCTCCTGAGGCCTTTCATTTGATTAAGAGAAATTTCGTGCCTGAGATACGGTCAGAGACCAGTGCGGTTCCTACCTGGTGGCTGACATCAATCGCAGCGACGCGGTCCTCTTCCCCAGGGCCTCCCTGTGCAGAGGCGGCAGTGCGGGTGAGGTGACCAGCACCTAACGAGAGTATTAAAATTGTAAATGGAAATTCTAGGAGGAAACATTAACATATCTATGCTGGGGAGGGGGGCAGGAGGATGAAAGTAAAACTTTTTAAGTTTAAAAATAATTGCATTCCCTAAAACAGCATTATTATCTATACTCAGTAAAGATCACGTTCAACTTTAGAAGGAAAACACTGAGAACCCGGAAAAATAAGCAAAAGGCAAACAATAATAGTGATAGAAAGCAAGTATGGGAAAATATTCCTCCTGCGTGGCAATTTAAATGCAAATTGAGGCAAACTGGAGATCAATGCTCTATTTGAGATGTGCGTCTCCTCTCGATTTTTTAAAAGGCAACACCCAGTACTGCCAAGGTTTGGGTAAAACCCGCACATTCCTGGTGGGGTGTAAGCTGTTTCAATCCATGTGTAAAGCAAAATGGCAATATGACTTGTGAAAACAGGAAAAAATATTTATAGCCATTGATTCGCTGTTTCTGACTTCTGGGAATTTATCCTAAGGGAATGATTCAGCAGGAAAAAAAGTGAGTGAAGATGTCTAGTGCAGCCTTATCTATAATAGAGAAATATGGGCAACAGCCTATAATAGTCCAACATGGGAGAGTTAACTGTGACATACCCCTATCAGTGAGGGGTTTAACTCAGGAATTAGAAAACGATGCTTGTTCCAGCTAGAAATTGTGATTTAATACTAATGGAATGATGCAGGGTTTCTTAACCTCAACACCACTGGCATGTGGGGCCAGGGTCTTTGTGGCGTGGGTTTTCCTGGACATTGTAGGTTACTGAGCAGCATCCCGAGCCTCTACTCACTAAAGGCCAGTAACACTCTCCCAGTTGTGACCATCCACCGATGTCTCCAGACCTCGCCACGTGACCCCAGAGGGCAAATCACAGCCAGTGGAGAACCACCAATGTGACTTTAAAAATGGAAGTCAAAGTGATGTCAACCGCTTACAGACTGCTGCAATATGTCTGTAAAAATGTATGTATAGCCCGGCCAGCGTGGCTCCGTGGTTGAGCATAAAGCCATGAACCAGGAGGCTGCTGTTTGATTCCCTGGTCAGCGCACGTGCCCGGGTTGCAGGCTTGATCCTTGCTCGGTAGGGGGTGTGCAGGAGGCAGCCAATCAATGATTCTCTGTCATCATTGATGTTTCTGTCTCTCTCTCTCTCCCTCTCCCTTCCTCTCTGAAATCAATTTTTAAAAAATACATTTTTTAAATGAATCTATAAGGAAAAGACTTGCATATAACGCTTTCAAAAAAGTGCAGTCATGCTAATTTGAAATTAGGAATGTGTTAGGTTGAGCTTTTTTGTTTTCAGTCTGCCTGTTTTTCTTTTTTTCAAAATCCCCCGTGTAAGAAGGAAAAATAGATCATGAGGACGCCTGGTTTTAAGTCTGGCTTAAAATAACTGAGGGGGTCACAGAAAACAAGTTACAGAAAACTAAACAAGGGTCAACACCATAGCGACGTTATTTTTTAACTTCTGTTAGTTAAAATTATTTAACATTCATTAGGTTTTATTAGATTGTTGGATAGGGCTATCAGAATTCTCCTGTTAAGGATCTCAATCCCTTTCAGCATTCTATGCCTCTGATCCCAGGCCTTGGGAACAATGAACTTGCCTCTTTTTCTGAAAAGTTTGCATCTCAAAGTATA